AGTTATATTGATAACAATGGTATTCAAGTGATTTTTTAGGTTAAAATTGATCAGTATAAAACCATGTGATATGTCCTTATTTACGTATCCAATTTTTTTTTATAGAGTTAATTTTACTCTCAAAATAAACTCTTAATACAAAATTTGAATTAATCGAGCTTCTAATCAAATATGCTACACCAATCGGAAATAAAAAAATTGTGTTAAAATATTTAATCATTTTTTTAAATTGAATCAGACATTAATTCTAAAACCCTCAGGGGTTGCAACTTGAATGACGTGGTGACAGACAAGAATCAAGGGTTATTATATTATTATTACAATATCATATTTACAGATATATTATGTCAAATGAACATCAAACATTGATTTATTAAAATAATATAAACATTATAAAAAATATTATTGTTGGTGCCCCTTCAGCTTATCAAATGGATAAAGGCCATAAACAATTTTCCGAGTCTCAATTTCTTGATACCTAAGTAACAAATTATTCTTTAATCATTTGGCTTTCGATCAATGACCTTATACGATACAAATATAAATTTATCGAGCTTTAATATAATTGATTTTTTGTTCTTATGTTAGATGGATTGTTCGTAAAAAGGTATTTTTGAGTTATTTATTTGATGGAAGACATTATTGAGTTATTACCTGACGAAAGGCGAGAATAAAACAATGGACAAAAGATATTACATTTCGAATAATTTTAACTTTAAATGAAAAAATATAATCCTATAATGTCGTTAATGATTTTTCTTAGAAAAAAAGAAAGATAAAGAAGAACAGAAGATATATGACGTTTTTTTTTTTTGGTTGGATTAATTATTTGAAACATTAATTAATGTAAAGAGGATTCTTGTCGCTTGTTTATTCTATTATTTATAATTATAAAATTTGACTATTTAGCCATAAGCCATTTTAAGGGGAAAAGATTAATGATAATTAAGCACCTAATTAATTATCGATGACATCTTAATTTTAAGACAAGTGGCCAAACATAAGATGTCCATTGAAGATTCTTAAAAGTCGAAAAAGTTAAACATATAAAAAAATAATTAACGGCCCTCCATGAAAATTAGTTTAAATTAAGTCCTCTAATTACTTGATTCATTGATAATTAAAATTAAGCTTACGCCATCCTAATTGGAATCATTAATTATAAGCTATCACAAACTTAGAGCCAAGTAGTTATATTATATATGGGATAACCTAAAAAAAAAGTTAAAAAATTCTCTTGTTATCCCTTTTTAAAATAAAAAAATAATTATTTAATTTACTAAATGACACACTTTCTGGGTGTTTTTTTTCTTGTATTTTATTAACTTTTAAACTATGGTTTAGATATCTTTTTTTAACAACCTAAAAATCTTAATGTCAGATTAAAATTTTGTAGATGTTATACGAATATATTTGCATGACTATTTGAAATTCTACTTAATTAGTATATGTAGCATTATTTTGGTTACAGAACGTACTGAAATATATTGTTTATGTATGTCTAATAAGTGTATTCACGCGTATATACAATATCTTTATAACGGAATGCATTATATTTATGTGTGCATAACAACAACGAAATACATTGTATTTGTGCACTTAATGAGTTTATCCATGTGTATATAACATCTCTTTCTAATTATATCCGTCTGAATAACAAGTATATTCAAGCATATCTGCTATAAAAATTTCAAACTATCGCTATATTATGTACAACTATTTTAAACTACAACCATAATTTTGAGTAAATATAAAACCTTAATTTGTTGTGTGACATAAACTTTTTCTTTCAAAAATTTAGGTAAACTTAAAAAGGGAATATTTGCATAAATTAGTCAAAGAAAACATTTTAAGTTTTTTTTTTTTTTTTGATAACCCTTATCCATCAGCTAGCTAATTATAATTATAATTATAACTTGTTATTAGACGTGGGCAAGTTCTTGTATCTAAATCGTCTCTCTCTTCAATTATATATAAAAATCATTTTTCTATTAGTAATAAAATCAAGAAACCAACATTATTGGAGTGGACTTTCCAATCAAGAAATTATTTTTTCAAAATTGTATGATAATTTTTAAATTCATTTGTGACTGGCTCTTGGACCTCGTGAAAGAATGGGAAGAAAATTATTTACTAATTTTTATTTTTTTAACAAGTCCACTTCGATAGTACTATTTACTAATTATTTTAATATATATGTGTTGACACATGTATAATTTGTATAGTGATGACTAGACAGATCTATCGTTTTTATTATATAGTATGATTTTGATTAATACTTGTCATGGGTGGATGAATCTATTATGAACGATCGATAATCCGTTCGAACCGACCACGGATTTATTAGCTAAATGACAATTGATACATATAATTTTCCCAATCGTTTTTTGTGGATTTTCATTAAGCTATATAATATAAGTTTATGATTTTGGTCTGATAAATTAAAAATTCGAAATTCAAAAACTTTTTGTGTGACTATATTTAGATAAGATGAAGGAGTGTGATAAGAAAAATGACCTTAAACTCTATTTTGATGAAGCTTGAACCATCAAATTAAAGTACATTTTCCATGCACCGTAAAAGAATTTCGACAGCAAACACATTTTCATCAAGTCATGAGGCAACTCTTATTCATTAGGTATCTATTAAATTTTGATTAAATTTAGTTTTATGTAAAAAAAATTCACATCAAAGAATATAGTATTTACTAATAAAGGTACATCTGAAATTTCTAATTAAGAATAATGCTTATATTGACATATTAGTATTTATATACGTACAAAGTTAGATATGAAGATATTAATTTCGAACTCCTTTTATTTCTTTATTTTGTGAACGTTGGATTTGGTAAGTCAACACCTAAGATTGATTTATTATTTTCATTAAGAGCCACAAATTATGTGGTCGAAAATTTATTCGTACAATTCATGATAGTATACTGTATATAATAATGTCTTCACAAACAAATCCTTTGTACTAAAAACAGTCCGTAATATGTAATTATGTGTAATTCATATTTATAGACTAAAATAAATTAACAATAAATCTAATTGGTTGTTTGTGTGAAGATTCACAATTTTATTTACTTGAAATTATTTTTTATTGAAGAAAAATGTATAATAAAGTAAAAGCATATTATATTATAAACAAGAAATGGTCAGGAAAATGAGTTTTGATCCTTGAAATTAATAGCACGAGTCAGTAATCTCATTAAGAAGATTTCAAAAAATAACACCTTAAATTTTTTTAACAGAGGTATTTATGTAATATATTTTCTTATGTATGTGACACTTTTTTTAAGAATTTCTTTTTAAAAAAAAATTATGCTTAAGGATACATTTTAAGATTAATTGTATGACAATGAGATTAATTATAGATGGATAATCACAAAGAATAAAAAAAAACATGTGTAACATGTTAATTGTTGTGCTTGTTGCCATCTGTTTTAAAGAAAAAGAAGAGTGCTGGTGGATGAAGGACCTTGAAAATTCTATCAGAGGAAATTGGTTGGAAATTAAATACAATAAATGTTGTATTAATTATTCAGGGTGTATTTGAAATGAAATTTAATTAAATTTTAAAATAACTTAATTTTCATATTTTAATTTTTTTTTCAATCATAATAGTATGATTTTATAACCACATAAATAAATATACAATAACATCTGTAAAACAGATAGTATGATTCTATCAAAAGACTTTTTTTTCTCTCTTAGAATTTTGTTCCAGTCAAATACCTTCACATACCATACTTGATTTTCTTTCGAGAGACAAACACATGACGATGAGATGCAAATTAATTAGAACCTTATATGTTGTAATATAAATTGTAATTATTTCATCTAAAAACTTTACTAAGACTTATTTTTAGTTACTAAATTATAAAATTATTTTCAAAGAATATCCTCTAATAGTTCCATATTTTGAGTGAATCCCTACCATAGAATGATTAGATGGTTTAGTTTTTTCATTCAATAAATTCCACACAACTACTTTAAATCATTTAATGGCTAGCAACAAAAAATCATAGTTCCATGCCAGAAAGTCACTATTTCTGTATATGAAGATTACATTGCATGTTCTAATATTGATACACATGAGTCATGACCCATTCTTGAAGGCTACATTTACTCACAAGATTCTTATATGAGTGTACAAGATCTTTGGGATATATATGCATCTTTTTGTTAAAAAAAAAGTAAATCCAATTGATATATATTTGCGATAGCTTAATTTTTAAGATGAGTTGATTACGCATTTATGTATAATCGTATGTTGCAACAAACAAAAGATTCTGAATTTAAATTCATGAACATCCAAAAAGCAAAAAAAATAAAGAAATAAAAGATTCACGTGTTTGACATATGAAAAAATAGTAGGCTCGCGTATACACGTGAGAGGGTGTGTTACGACATAAAATAATTTTAAGTAAATAAAAGTGTTAGATCTCTTTTAAAAACCTTTTGCATGTGATGGTCAAATACTTCAATAAATCGCAGCAGCTACACCTCAATATTCCTAAATAAGTTTCAATCGACAATATTGATTCTCACCAACATCTAGCTAAATAAATTTATTTCAAACAAATACAAGTATAACTCTTGATGTCAACTTACCACAGTCCTCTTTTGTATTTAGACTTGAGTCTGACAATATGATCTAGCTCATGTTCCCAGAGTTTATTTCATACAAATATTACTTTTAAAAAGTACTAGGAAAGGTAAAGTTTTTAAACTCCAAGTACCTTAAAATGCTAAATTATTCATGTGTAAGTTACTATCAATAATTTTCTTTTTAGAGACAATTTCTCATCCAACCAAAAAAAAGCGAGGGGGGGGAGGCAAAAAGGAATGACAATCCTGGGGGAGTTGCTACTACCATTGAAAGTGGACCATGTTGAATATAAAATTTCAATGTATTAAAAAAGTGGCAAAAATATCAATTGAGTTGTCCCATGGCCAATGTCTATAAAAGGGTAATGGAATCATTGAATCTACACCATGGCCTTTGTATCATCAATCTTCTTTTAGCTCCCAACAAAAAAAATACACCTTCCATTTTTATAATTCTCATTGCTCATTGGGTCCAATTTTGTGGCTAAAAAGTAAATAGTAGAATATTTGCAAAAATGTCACTTCCTGAGACACAAAATGATGCAAAAGCTCTCCCTGATGCTTGGGATTACAAAGGGAGGCCATCTCTTAGGTCCTCCTCTGGTGGTTGGGCAAGTGGAGCAATGATTTTAGGTGTGGTTTTGCTTTTTCTCTCTCTCTCTTTCGTTTTTTCGAGCTGTCTGGTGTGTAAGCATAACATTTCTGGTCAAGTCAGTTCAACAATCCAACTAAGAAGTATCGGATTTGATAGATATGTCTTCTTTCTTTCTTTTGAGATGGTACTCTTGAGTAGCTAGCAAGTACCTACCTACCTCATAGTACGTTGAATCGCCTACAAGAAAAAATGTTCCTATATAAAATCATCATGTTTAATGGTGGGATTATTCAGGGGTGGTCTTCTGTGTAAACATGATATTTTTGGATCATATTTAATTTATCAAACCCAACTTAGAAGAATCGAACTTGATGGGTGTCTCTTTTTTTTCTTTTGGAGAGTACTCTGGGTAGGTACTTAACTCGTAGGACCTTAACTTGCCTACTCGATCGAGTCTTATATGGATACACAAGAAATGGTGCTCCTATATGTGTTTTAGTAATTATGCTTGTTTACAAGACAAATCTGACGTCTTATCTTTCAATTCAAAATACACAACTTCTTAATTTTGAATCTATATATCACTCTTCATTCTTGGATATTTTGCCTTATAGGTGTTGAAGCTGTGGAGAGGCTAACCACACTTGGTATTGCTGTAAACTTGGTGACTTATTTGACTGGAACTATGCATTTAGGCAATGCTACTGCAGCCAACAATGTCACCAATTTTCTTGGAACTTCTTTCATGCTCACTTTGCTTGGTGGCTTCATTGCTGACACTTTCCTTGGAAGGTTTGTATTTATTAACGTGTTATAGCATGTTACTTATCATGTACTGACGTGTCAGATTTTATAATTATCTTTTATGAGAGATATGATTTTATGAATAACTTTTTTCACCGTCATCGCGTTGAATTACTTAAAATTCTTATTTATTTATTTTTATTAATGCAGGTATCTAACAATTGGAATATTTGCCACAGTTCAAGCAATAGTAAGTGTCCAAAAAAAAATAAATCATTTCATTCATATTTTTGAGTGTTATTATCACATTGGACTTAACATAGTCATCAAAAAAGACTTTCTTTGGTCATCAAATCGAAAATTTTAATTCTTCTCACTATGTGGAAGTATGTGATGAGGAATCTCGAAATTGATTTAATTTCATTCAAAAAAAAAAACTAGTCATATTATAATTGTTGTGAAGAGGAAATTGGAGAAAGTGAAAATTAGAAAAATTTTAAATGACAATTTGGTTTAATTAATTTGTTGTGAAGAGGAAAATCGAACATGTATATGAAGAAGATTAATGATGATTGGACTAAGAGGAAAGAGGAGGGAGGAGGAAGAAGAGGAAGACCATTTCTTTCATTAGCTAGGTCAACGGTCATTCTTTAAACTATCAGTGCATATAAGTTAAATTCAAATAATATTAAGTTAAAAGATAAAACTTATATATATATATATATATATATATATTACATAACATTTTATTCAATATTTTAACTTGTTATAGTAATAGAGATGGATAGATGGTGTGTAATAATTAAAACTTGTGTACATCTCACTTTTCTCAAACCCCACATGTGAGATCACTGGATATATTGTTGTTGATTAGCTATATGTATTTACTATTAGTTGACTTGATAATATAAACTACTTTTGTATTATCAGTATACATAAGCTAAATTCTAACGAGAAGAATTTTCATTTGTTATGATGAATAGGGTGTCACAATCTTGACCATTTCGACCATAATCCCAAGTTTGCGACCACCAAAATGTGAACAAGGTAGCTCATCATGCATCCCGGCTAACGGCAAACAACTCATGGTCCTATACATTGCGCTATACATGACCGCCCTCGGTACGGGCGGTCTAAAATCAAGTGTCTCGGGATTTGGGACCGACCAATTCGACGATTCGAACGAAAAGGAAAAAGGACAAATGATAAAATTCTTTGATTGGTTCTTTTTCTTCATAAATGTTGGTTCACTAGGTGCAGTTACAATATTGGTTTATGTACAAGATAATTTGGGAAGGGAATGGGGTTATGGAATTTGTGCATGTGCAATTGTTATTGCACTTGTATTATTTTTATTTGGTACAAGAAAATATAGGTTTAAAAAACTTGTTGGAAGTCCATTAACACAAATTGCATCAGTATTTGTGGCTGCTTGGAGAAATAGGCATATGGAATTGCCATCAGATTCATCACTTCTTTATGAAATTGATGACAATGTTTTTGGTGAAGGACACAAAAAAAGAAAGCAAAAATTGCCTCATAGCAAGGAATACCGGTGAGTTCTTTAATTTCTCTCATTCTTCACTACTGAAAAAACGTGAATTTCTAACGAATGTCTCTCTTAAAACATATTTTATTTTAGCTTGACTATGTATGTAAATGTTATTCACGCTGTCAATGTATATGATTTATTACTAACTACACTTAATATGGGAAACTAGTTATTAATATAAATTAAAATAAGAGATAAAATCTACTATAATATGTTAGATTATTAATTTGACAGTCTAATATAAACCACAAATGAGAAGTTTTTTATTGAAATATTGACTTAGTCACTTGCATTATTTTGCATAATATTAAAAAAAAAAAAAGTTGGTGCCAAGCTGTGAACTTATCCCTAGACTCCAATATATAGAGTTGGCCAATCTTTGATAGCTACCATTAACCAAATTAATCAACATTTCATCAATCAAATGCCTATAATTAATTCTATTTTGAAATAAAAAGCCTATTAAATATTGTGAGATACTTTGATATTTGACTTACTATTATTTTATTATTTATACAACATGTAGAGCCACTCCAACTTTATTTTCTTTTAATTTTTAATGCCCTATATATTAAGATTTTTTAGACAGTAAATATATTTTAGCATGTTGTTTTCTATTTATTTTAGATTATGAATCAATGTCATAAATAGAGTTACCTCACCAGTTACTTGATCTGATTGTGTAAATATACATTACATGTCCGGTCCTTAGAATTTATATGAATCTTCGAATTCAGATTAGGCGAGCTTCAGTACAAGTACTACATAGAAAACCAAAAGAAAATTTGCACATCATATGTGTATAATCATGTATAATTTGTATATATCATCTAGAAAAAGTAAATCGTGAATCAGATTCTGTTTTTATTATGCAGATTCTTGGACAAGGCAGCCATTAAGGAAGATGGTCTTGAAAGTAATGTTGTGAACAAGTGGAAAGTGTCAACATTAACAGATGTTGAAGAAGTAAAATTGTTATTCAGAATGTTACCAACTTGGGCCACAACAATTATGTTTTGGACTACCTATGCACAAATGACCACATTTTCTGTTTCACAAGCAACCACTATGGATCGTCACATCGGTAAATCATTTGAAATCCCGCCCGCCTCGCTCACCGCGTTCTTCGTTGGATCCATCCTCTTGACCGTAATTTTCTATGATCGAGTCATCGTTCCGATTTGTCGACGTTTCGCTAACAAACGCCATGGACTCACCCCATTGCAAAGAATTTTCATAGGGTTAATCCTTTCAATTATAGCCATGATTGCATCTGCCTTAACTGAGGTTAAAAGATTAAATGCTGCCCACTTAAATGGGCTTACAAATGACCCAAATGCCACAATTCCATTAAGTGTATTTTGGCTAATTCCACAATTTTTAGTTATTGGGGCAGGTGAAGCTTTTACATACATTGGCCAATTGGATTTTTTCTTAAGAGAATGTCCAAAAGGTATGAAAACTATGAGTACTGGCCTATTTTTAAGTACCCTTGCATTAGGGTTTTTCTTTAGTTCAATTTTGGTTACAATTGTACATATGGTGACTGGGACAACACATCCATGGATAGCTGATAATTTGAACCAAGGGAAGTTACATGATTTCTACTGGCTATTGGCAATATTGAGTGTGTTGAACTTGATGGTTTTCTTGTATACGTCGAAAACGTACGTGTACAAGGAGAAGAGGCTTGCAGAAATGGGAATTGAACTCGAGGACTCTGGACCAGTTTGTCACTAAAATAGAGGATCACACTCTATCACTACTAGAAAAATGTAAATTTCATGTTGGAAGTTTGCTTTCGCGTTTTTCTAGTAGTGGATCCATCAACACCAACAACAACAAAAAAAGACACTTTTTTCCCCTCCTTTTTTGGACTTTATAATTAACTTTTGGTTTTCTTTGATTGAGCTTGAATAACTCTTTATTGGGAGAGTTATGTAATATAACAACCTTGTTGTATATGTACAAAAGATGGAAAAGAGCTTAGGTAATGAAAAATTATAGAGCTCTTTTCCGGTGTTTTCTTTTCTTCTTACTGTATATCATAATAATGTAATGCAATGCAATACATGAATTTCATGATTTATGAAATCTTTTTATTTTGTATTATCTTCGACTTATTTTTCATTTCCTCTTAAATCAAATTGGTTACATGTCACGTAATTACTTTTTATCCTTCGATTATCTATTTAACATATAATGGAGAAACAAAATCAAGTTGATACAATGTATATAATTGACATCTTTTAATAACTAATTATGTATACAAATATTAAATTGAAGTTTAAGTGACTTGAATCTAAATTAATCGAATTAATAAATTTCGAATATCTGATTATTGAAGTACATAGACAAGTCCTTGTTATGTGCCAAATATGAAAAGGAAAATTCCTTTTATTTTCTCATTAAATGATTTGCCATTTTCTGCCACATGTTCATTTGATTGATTTGAAAAGATCCAGCTAGTTGTAGTTGTCAAAGAAGATCAGATCAGGAAGATCTTGACATGTTTTTCAAGGGTTTCTTTTAAAGTTTTACAATTTTAGTTATAATAATGTTGATATTGAAAATCAATTTTCGAGTGTAACAACGATCAATAATGTTTTATGAGTAAACTTAAAGTTTTATTATAGTTATGGAAGAAGGTGGACTAAACAATTGAGGTTTACTCAAATTGTTTAGCATCTCCAATATCAATCGTTAAGTTGAACGTTCAAGTCATGTTAGAGGAAATTGAGAACACTATCGATCCTCTTAAGAGGTGGGGTGGAGGAAGAAAAGAAGAAGCTGAATTAGGTATATATTATGAATAAATTTATATCTATGAATGAAAGTTGTTGATCAACTCATCGAGCACAATGTAGTAGTGTTGGTTTAGATTTGAAACATCTTTAGAAAGTATGTTGAAAGAGCAAAATCTTGGGTAATAGTAAACATGATGAATGACAAGCTTTCCCTCCACTAAAGAAGTTCGCAAGCCTTTTTTTCGTTCAAACATGATATAAAAAGTAAAAATAAGTAATCAAATTATTTTTCATCTAAAAATATCCAATTTATCTAATGCTTATTAAATTGTACTTACTACATAGAATCGATAATCAATTTTTAACTCAAATCATTTTTGGGAGAAATAAAGGAAGGAAACAATGAAAAAAAGTTATGCCACACGATATTTAATGGAAAAGAGCCTTGCCACACAATATATATTGTTTTTAAAAAAAAGTTATCCTTCACTTTAGTTTTATTGATCAACCACCAATGTGATTTAATGTACACTAATGTGGAGTTGATAGGGCTCTTGAACCAAGAGGACAGAAGGAAAACAGTAGGGTCTTAAGAAATAAGATATTTTCTTGAAAAATAAAGTAGAGATTTCTATTTCAATTTATTCGACACTATCTATTTAAGTCCTTCAAAAGAAAACGATACATTGCAAACAACACATTTCCAAGATAAAAAAATCTAACACAAGGAAGACCTTTTTGGCACACCCTTTCGGCGGTGTGTGTATGAACCATCAGATATTGATGAACAAATCGACACACTAAGAGATGTATGCTTGGTTTCTTCATAGTCACGAGTGGTCTCAGTCTTGATATTGATTGAGCCACAAGAAGCTCTTATGGAGTATGTTGTATTTTGATTTTCAATAAGTTCCACTAAACATTCAGATTTATTTATCAACTTTTCGTACTTTATAATCGAGCTAACAATAGAGCGGCTTATCATATAATGTACCTGTGACAAATGAAAATAATCAAATGTTTAGTAAGTTAAGTAGAAAATATTAGTTTTAAATATTGGGGGGTGTGGAGGTAGGATGACTTGGAGAATAGGTTTAACAATTAATGTGAAATGTCGTTATAAAATTTATTTTTAGTTTTGGTTTTTTTTTTTTAAAAGTTACTATGTTTCTTATTTGAAAAAAAATAATAACTTTCTAGAAGATATGCTTTCTAAAAAAATTGCAATCAAATATAGAAAAAATAATTATATTTCCATTTCAAAAACACCCTAAGTAGAGAAAACAAAATTGAAGTCATGGTCCTTCAAATATATGTAAATGTATTTAATTGAATATATGCATAGTATACATAATTAAAGAAGATTTGATCAAATATATGTAAAATACTAAAAGTTGTCTTTTGAACGAGTAGCGGTAAGAGACATTCATCATTTAAGATGAAATATATAAATAACATCTTAAATTTGTTATTAAAATTTATTTAGATATTTGAATTACGATCAGTTTCAAGCTGAGTACCTAATCACATAATTACACGTTCATATTAAAAACATTTAGCTTAATTTAAAAAAAAAACTTTTTCAAGCAATCTTGAATATATCATAACGTAGATAAGTTAGTTGCTAAAATTTATTATTATCAATAATTATACATATTAGCCTCAATACGTTGTAAAACCTCATGTCTATGTGATTAATTTATTTATAATAAGTATTTGAAATGAAATACATTATAATTTGAATGTCTAGATAAAATTAGTCGACAATTTTAAATTTAGTTCATGTTAAATAAATGGAAAATTCAAACCTTGCATGAGATGGAGCAAAAAATATTTGGGCATTGAAGGCTTTTGTGACATTGATTACAAGTGTAATTTGCTGAGACCTTGATGAATTGTCTTTTAATTGGCCTTTGATTCAAGAACACTACTTTAGCATTGTTTGTTGTATATGACTGCATAAAATTGAACAATTGAAATATATGTGCCAAAAGTTTGAATAAAAGATAGTTGAAGTCAGATAAAAATGATTAAATTTTAGTTACATCAAAATAAAGGAAAAATATATTTAAATTCTATTCTTATCATGTGTCTAAAACTAAATAAGAGAAAAAAATGACAAAATCCCAATCATACATGACAAAAATTCAAGTAAATATGGTTACGTGAGATAGAAATGACATATATAAGTGAAATTCAACAAAAACCGATTCAACATCAATCTTATGATATTTGAAGTTATCTGAAATAGGTATATGTGGGGCGGGGGATACAAATTAAATTGCGATGCTAAAATCAAGTATTTGTGAATTTTCCTAAGTATCATAAAACAAGAGAACAAACATGAAAATTAATTTAATTTGATCATAAGAAACTTACTTGAACAAAGGAGCAATCTAGGAGTATGTCAACGTCTTTCAAGCGCAAAACATTTTGATAAACATACCTTCTTATCTACGAAACCAAGAAAATGCATGCACAAAATCAATAAAATAATCGAGATATACGTAAATTATTTGAAACATATAGATGGAGTAATATTTTTTTTCTATTTACCAAACATAACAAAATATGCAATAGAATTTACTTATTTTTTAAGAAAATATTTTTTATCGTAACAAGCACACACGTAGTTCAAATGCATATCAAGTAGGCAAGGCATAGATTTGATTCAACCTTGTAAGAAGAAACTCTTGGAGTTGAAAAATAGTAGTTCATTTACCTATTGAAACGTGTATTTCATTTAAAAGTTAGAAATTTGAAGGTCGAAAAAAAAGATTTTCCATCTTATAATAAAATCAATCTAATGTATAACCGAACAATATATTGAAAAATAATAATTCTATATTCAAATAATTTTAACTAACCTGCAAAAGTTTGTGACTTTGGTGAGAAGGCAAACAGTGGATGCATAAACTAAGGCAACAATCCAAACAAAATGCATTTTCTTCATTCTTTTTCTCAAATTCATGAACCAAACATGAATTAAAGAATTTTTCACTCAAAAGCACTTCAAGCCATTTTGGAATAATTGAATTTGAAACACTTCCCACCTTCAAAAAAGAATCATATAAATATCAGAATATATATAAATAAATAAATCAGCAATAAAAACTATTTCACACAAACAAAGGCAATCTCTATCTTTAATTAGAGATCTCGAATTTACACTTAAAGTTACTAAAGAGCATTTTACCCTCAAAATGAATTTTTTTAAAGCAAATTGAAATTAGTCGAACTTCAAAATAAATGTCAAACACTAAATTAAAAACAAAAAGAAATAAAACTATTTTTAAAACTAACCATTTCAACTAATTTGTTATTCTAATTATTTGTGTACTTGAGGTTCTTTGTCTCTTTCCATGAAGATGTAAAGAAATGGCCCTTATATAGAAGCAATAGAGGGTGGACGAAATTTTTTAATATGGTAGAGGCTCAACCAATAAAGTTCTATTCAATTTTTGACACTTGAATAAGTGGGCCATATGCACACTTTTACTTTTTACTCTCCACCCCCACTAGTTCCCTCCCATCTGCCCACCCCTCCTCTATTTTTATTCTTCTTTTTTTTTTTTTTAATTCTTCAAAAAATGGTAATGTGAAAAAAAATAAAAATTGGTAACCAAAGAAAAATTAGCCCACCCCTCCTCTATTTTTTTTTTCTTCTTTTTCATTTTTTTTAATTCTTCAAAAAATGGAAATGCGAAAAAAAAATTGGTAACCAATAAAAGGAAAATATAAATTGATTACCAAATTTTCACAGGAGTCTCTTTCACCATATAAATTGATTATCAAACTATGCCTATTTTTTTATATAACCGAATAAAAGTTAAAATATAAAGGTAACAAATCAAATGTTAGAAAATAAACGAGACTCACACCGTAAAGTGGAAGTTAATTTATTTAATTTGACTTTTTTTTTTTCACTAAGTTTCTAAAAATATGTAAAGATAGTTGAATATTAAGGAAAACATTAGAATTAAAAATGATTGATTTAGCTGAATCAAATAACTTTTAGGT